AAAAAAAAAAAAAAAAAAAAAAAAGAAAAGGCCGGACGAAGGAGAGGATGGGGAAGAAAGAAGAGCGTAAATTAGTAATTAAAGGAAAAAATTTTACCATGTCATCAATCTTTGAGGGCAAATCAGTAATTAAAAGTAAAAAATTTAACATGTCATCAATTTTTTCCACGTGGATTTTCCACGTAATTTAATAAAAAAAAAACAAAATGAGTTTTTCCATTAATTAACCTGACACATCAGCCAAAATTTAACAGAGGGACTAAAAAGGGACCGGATTTGTAAACAGTAAGGACCAAAAAGGGGATTTTTTCGGTACAGGGACCAAAAAAGGGCTTTTTCCTATAGTAGAAGGACCAAAAAGTGTATTTAACCAAACTGATTTGGAGAGCATAATTAAGACCGAGAAGAGATTTTATGCAATAACTTCTAGTAATATATACTATGAATTGAACGAAAACCAAATATGTACTAACATGATTTGTGCAGCATTAGTGATAAATAGACTTAATTTTCCATGTAAACTAGAAAATTTCACAGAATATAATGCATATTTATTTATTTAAATTCACATAAAGATATAGTAAGTTCATAGGTAAATATAGATTTGATATAACTTGAAAAAGTATATAAGATAGGGTAAGAAATCTCGTTGTTACATAAATAATAAATATCTTGGAAGTATATTAATCTAAATTCTATATTAGTTGATTATGGTGAAATCGGATGCCTTAGAATTTTAATTTTTGATGTTACTTAAAGTCAATTTAATTTTTTGTTAATTAGTTTAATTATTTAATTTAATCAAATCATTTAATTTCAATTATTCAAATAAAATTAAAATTAATTAATTTTGATATTTAATTAGGTTACTGTTCTTATGAAATAATATTTTATTTTCATCGTTATATTACTTAAATTGATTAGTATAATTGTTACAGTGGAATTAGCTCATCACTTTTGACGCAAGAATAAAGTTCGAAAGACTGTTTGAAGCGCAGTAACTGCCTGGAGCGAGAATTGATTTTTTTTTTTTTAATCTTAATTTTCTTCTTTTTGTTTTTTCATTTTTATCTTAATTTATGGAAAATGTTTTCAGATATGTGTTTTTCTTTTAATG